AAGCTGTTGGACCCCTCTACGTGGTGGTTTTGGACACTGCGTCCAGACATGTCCTCTCCAAAGAACCATGAATAAATATGAATCATACCCTCAAAATCAGTTAAAAGTACAAATCTGATGATCTTTCCGGGGAGTCCATGAGTAGACCTGAATCGCCCTAACCACTGCTATACGCACGGTTTCTTCATGTCTTGACCCGGGCGTTGTCTGCTGTCCTCGACCTGGGATCGTGACCCACCGGGAGCCCGACCAGTCCATGTCGCTGGACGTCACGTCGCGACCCGGTCGTCGAGGTCACGTGCCATGACCCACAGGGTCTTGGTCAGCGTCTCGGTCGTCGCCGTGGGTCATCGTTGACTCTGCCTTGGGGGTTTGGTAGTTTGGTATATCCAATGACCAGTGGATGATGGTTGGGTTGCAGGCCTTGGCATCTCGAAAATAGTGATGGTTGTTTACAGGTAATGGGACAACTGGTCCACCCAGAAGAAGCCAAGAGGAATACTCCAACGTGACGTCGATCCCTCTAGCAACATCATTTGGGCCAATGAACATGTGCACAGGGAAAATGAAGTGCCTCCACATGCCAGTGGCTGTGCAAATCCATGATCATCCATGTTCACAAACACTCCCTGGAATCATGGAAGTGGAAAGGGCCATGGCCTTCCCGCGGGGCCATGCCATCCACTCCCATGATAGTTTCAGGGAGTGTACATATTGACCTTGCACACACGCCACGGCCACACCCATCCACACCCCCCACACCAGGCTCAGCCAGGCTCCCGGCTGCCACAGCTGTGCACCACTCCTTCACTGGTGAGCGCCAAGCAGTGCTTGTCGCTGCAAGCCTCAAATCCCCGGCCAAAGAGGTGAGGATTCATGCCTACAGTCATCTACAATCAATCAATCCATCAATCCATCAATCCATCCATCCATCCATCCATCCAATCAACCAATCCATCCATCCACAAGTCGAAGGCGTCGGCCGGCCTGGTGCATCTGCCTGGCCCGTCCGTAGAAGCATGGGTGGGGCCAGAAGCACTAGACTAGACCCCAGGAAGGAACTCTTTGTGAGGGCAATCCTGGCTTCACAAAGCCCTGGTTTTCCTCGAGCAGTACCAGGGAAACACGTTCAAAGGAGGACCAAGGAGGGCAAGGTGAACTCCTCTGTGCCAGGGAGTTTTGGAAGTTGCGCGCAGTTGTCCTCCCAGTAGTGTTCTCTCTCTCTCTCTATATATATATATATATTATCTCTCTCTCTCTCTCTCTTCAGTCCTCCTGCGTCGAACGGTGTCCTCCGCGGTACCACTTTTTGGCATCGGTGTCAAGCACGGGCTTCGTGCCAAGGCGTTCCAAGCTACATTTAGATCGCCCTGGAGGCGAGGCAGCATCGCCAGACCACGATCCCACCAGTGGGGACGATCAGCCGGGGACCCAGGGACCTCTGCCCCGAAAAGTGACCTCAAGGTATGGAGTTCTTCTACCAGAAAGTCTGCAGGGAAAAGTCGTTTTTTTTCTATCAATGCCCTAATGTTGACTGATGAACCAATAACCCATATGAAGTGCCTTCAAAAAGTGCATGATGACTAGGATTGCATAAGAACATTGCATTCATACGCCATATGCTGACATGCTCCAAACCATCGGGGGCTCCCAGGGGAAAAGAAAAGGATTCCCCTTGACAGGGTTCCAAAACAGTGGGAAACGATAGGGGACTCGCAACTATGACGATGCAATAGCCACACATAAGATTTTATCACCGTACCTCATGCGGAGATGTAGAGCCTTGCTGGTAGGGCAGGGTTGTTCATCCAGTCTGCATTACATCTATGAGGTCGTCGACCATTCCACCCAAAAAAAGAAGACACGATGCCCCCGTGCTGGGTCGCTGCACCATCTGCGCACGCTTTCCGCGCCGCTGTGTGAAGCCCTTCACGCAGCTGATCTGAATCCCGAGGCGAACGTGTGGTCCAACGAGTTGGTTGAAGCAACGACCAGTCAACGCATCAAAGTCCAAGCACCCTCCTTTTAGCTAACTGGTGATATTTTTTCTGCTTTCAGTGGGTCAGGAAAGACGATCATCGGGATTCAGCCTCCCTCTTTTTTGAGGCTTGGCCAATCAGAGGTTCTGCGTCCCACAAGGTGAAACTCGGCTTGACAGGGTGGTCTCCAGGGTGGAGACCCCAAGGGGGTGTCAAAAGCAGCAAGCTCCCGAGGTTCTGTGTGCTTTGCTGTGGTTTAAACAGCTTCAAAGGCCGTGCATGCAGCTTCTGCACGGACCAAAAAGAGAGAAAGAAATCGAAAGGGTGATGGTCCTGGTCCCAATTTGTGAGAACCTTATGGCCTTATGATGCCTTATGGTTCATGTTGCCGTCTGAGGGTGGATGGTTGATGCAGTGCAGAAACTCCAAGCATGCAAGTGGAGTAGAAAAAGTATCACCGAATCCCACTTCTCCCCCCGAAATTTAAAAAAAAATGGACAATTCTCCCCCCAATGTCCACCAAGAACCAAGCCGACACTCTGCAGGTACTTCTTTCCACCTGAGTAGTTGTTGTGCCAAGTGCCCACTAGGGCTGTTTGGGTCCAGAACCTGTAACACTCTTATTCTCAAAGGCTCCTTCAGTTCGCTAGGGCTTTGACCCTCACAACTTGGGGCTTTGGACCGAACCAACATGTTGCTTCGGTGGAACATCCCTGCAAGTGTCGCCTCGGGGGGCACCTGTTGTCAGTACCTCATACCAGGGCAATCCCCTTCCTTTGAAATGGTTCCTCTCTCTTCGATTCACCATCTGCGCATCGATCTCGGGTGCTGTGCTGATCCCTTGAGCGGCACCCAGGATAGAAGAAAAGAGAAAAGACCAGGATCGGTCGGTAGAAGAAGGTGCCCTGTTTTTGCAGCAACACCTTGGCCAGGCATATAAATATTGATCAAACAACAGAAGCATGCGTGCGTAACCATCCGCAAGGCCCCATGCGAAACTTTGAGGAACTGCTGAGCAAAGCAGAACGACCCTTCTTTGGGGGTCACCTTGGCCAAAATCTGCACGAGTCGTCCAGTTTGGACGTCTGGTAGAAGCCGCCACTCTTGCAGCGGAACTGTTCCAATACGTTTCATACAAAACCCCTGTACATGAACCACCCATCTATCACAATCTCTTCTTTCACTTTGCTTCGCGACCACTGCTGGAGCACGGCCAAGTGCCCACAGCTCTACCATCGTGCTGGTCACTTTGGCTGCCTGGCCACGAGGGAATGGCAGGAAGGAGCATGAAAGGAACGATTATGGCGTCTTTTTGGAAGTGGCCAGCCCCGTAGAACCAGACACTGTAGCTCCATCGAGGAACAAAGCTTCGAACCGAGAACGAACGAAGGGCCCCACAAAGAAACCTAAGGACCGATAAAGTAAAACAAAATTTGCAGTTCTCAAGCAAACCAAATGAAGTGTTCCGCCAAGTTGAACCTGGAAACTGAAGATCCAGCTTTAGGGAACAAAACATGCAGCCCTCGAACTAAGCAAGTGAAGCGTTCCACCAAACTGCGCAAACTACCTCAGCTCAGAGCTAAGCTAAGGCATCAAGCGCTTCATGAAACTTTTGTAGTACACCAGGTCACCGTCGTTCCGAGGCCAACCGAAGCGTCTCATGAAAAATCAACAGGGGTATCCATACCAAGAAGGCAGGACCATACATGGTCCCAATAGGGTGTCATTGTTCCACACTTAGCGAACTTGCTTTGGCCTTCACGAAGCCAGACATCTGTGCACCTATTGCTCTAGCCAAGAAAAGCCCATTGCCTTTGACAAAGCTACGCCCAAGATGAAGCCGTTCGAGTAACCTGGGGAAGACTTTGGTCTTTGAACTCATGCCGCTTGCTGTCACCCAACAACTGAAGATTGTAAAGCCGCCACGCATCTCTGCACATATGCTGTATCCGCTTCCAATGGCTATTCACAAGAACCGACTGCAAGTGGAACCCTTCAGGGCACACAGAAGGGTGTGTCCACAACTCGTCCTCAACAAGCCATCCCCAGCGACACATGTCGGTGGTCAGCAAACGATACAAGGCGCCCTTGCCCAACTGAACGCCAAGATCTGAAAGCAAGTTGTGCAGGAACGATTATGGTCCTTCGAAACATGCCAAAGGCTTCTAAGACTAGTATTGTTTGTAGGCCTAGGGTACCCTAGCCTAGCCCCCTTCCCTGCCTAGGGGGGGTAGGCTAGGTGAAGAGAAGCCCTATCATGGGACTTCTGTGTGGGCCTACCCCGCTCGGGCCAACCAAAAAAAAAAAAATATATATATATATATATATAAATTAAAAAATACACAGAGTAAAGGGTTTTGGGACGCGCGTAGCATCGTATCAACAATCGGCGGGCCTTTGAGACAACGACCCCATTGTCAGAAGGAAAGCTGACCAGTCATGACCAGTCTTCATTCTGCCTACAGCGAGGTCCATCCTTCTGGAGGCAAGGCGGGTCCGAAGAGCTTCCTTCGAGGATTTGTTGGGAATCAATCATGCAAGGCACATGATGGTCCCCTCGAAGGGCGGCTCTGTAGCATGCCTCAAACACAGCACAGTTGTACAACTCTTGATGCAACCACTGAGTGGGTACATCTGCTCTACGCATTGGTTCCCGGTTTCTTGTCGGCTCGTGACCGGCTCATCGGCGACCTGTGAGCCGGTAGGCGAGCTTTGTGACGTCCATGCCCGAGAAGCCGAAGGTGGCCATTCGGGCCGTTTGGCCATGGCCACTTCATCGAATTCGTGCCAAGCACCGCGTCGCGCCCTCCACCGCGTGCCGTCTCGTCTCCCCCCAACAGAAGCGACCCCAATGCAATCCCACACCAAAACAAATGGATGTTTTCGCAGTTCCCAAACTTGTTAAACTCAAGGATCTCAATATTTGAACCACCCTTTGGTTTCGGGATTGGAGTTGCTCAAACTCCTCGAAGGTCCACCGATGGTCATCCCGGTCATCCCGGCGGAGGAGTCTCACCTGCATCACTCAAGCTTGTAAAGGTTTGGCGGTGCACTGCTCGAAGCCTCAGCCTCGAACACCACGAATGGTGCCGGAGCAAAATTATGCGGCGGATTGACCATGTTTAGAGTGGAGGCCTTCTCGTCGGGCGTGGGCAGTCCATTCTACGTACTGTCTTTAGGATGCATGTAATGATCATCGAGATGGAGATCGTTGTTTATAAGGGTGTGACCTCAACAAAGTGATATAATGACAAACCTTTGGCTAAGTATGGTGTCAAGGTCTTCTATGAACAGGCAACAGGTGGTCAGGTGGTGCTTAGGCAGAAGCAAATGGTCCTTGACAGCAATCGTCAGGTCTCCGCAGGTTTCTCACGACCTGTCGCAGGTCCCTATATAATTACCTCAACGGAGATCTCTCGTCACGACTCGTCCCACAGGATCCCACAGGCGTCGAGTTGCACCATGACCAGCCAAACAGACCTGGGGGGGGTCGATTTAGGCCAAACTCCACCTGGACTGATTCTATCCAATCCAACATCTCCCTAACACCGATCTCCCTCCGTCCGGAACAGGTCCTTCCCCCCTCTCCGGTGCCGAGCTGGCGACGGTGGGGTCTCCCTTGCGCTTCTTGGGTTTCACCTTGATGACCCCCGCTTCTTTGAGCTTGGTCCTTGGCATGAGGAAGAACATCTGATACCATTCTGAGCTTGAGCTTGAGCATTCCCTACAAGTCCAAAGACCCAGTAAACCTGGTCTTTTACCTCCTTAAGTATTGGTTTTGTGTGACCATCTCCAGTAAAATGAGTTCATTGACTTGTAGGGATTGATTTTTGGGGGGCAGTTCACCTTGATCTTCTATCACTTCCATCATCTTGATCTTCTATCTTCTTGCTGTCATCCCTTGGTACCAGTGCCATGGATTGATTCACATTCATTCTTGGTGAGCTGCGGAACCGCCTTGATCAAAGTAGGGAAATGGATGGAAATGGCACCACCATGTACATCACACTCTGTGATGCCATCTAACCAGTGTCAAATCTAGATACTTGGATTTGCTTAAGCAAACGGAAAATCAAAGAACACATTCCTGAGAAGGGGATTCATCAATTTTTTGAAAGGAAAAAAATCACCCTGGCCCTAGTTGCAAATCCAGGTGCTGATGTTCCTTGCTCGTGCTCCTTCGCACTTCTTCCCCAAGTGCGTTCCTTTTCTTCGTATGAAGCACCAGAGCTGCTCATTGTGCCAGGGGGAACTGGGAAGTAGAAAACGTGTCTCCAGAAACATGTTGAAGGAGACCAGCGGCATGATTGATGAACAACCTTCAACAGCACACATCAACAATCTTGATCTGCTCGCCCCAAGGGCCTCATTCATTGGACACAGAGATTTGTCGGAAAAGGTTGCATTTTCTTTGTCTTCGCACCCACCCATGCCCTCCACCGCGTTGCGTTCGATTGGCTTTCGGCACCAAGGCCCAAAGAACCAACGGAAAGCCATGCCTTCCCCCGGCTTGCCGGCGCAAGCGCGTGGAAAACCGAACGAAGCCATGCCAAAGGTTCAAATGAACCGCCAAACACCGAACGGTCATCGTTGAAACCGAATCTTCCGAGGAGCGTGAGCTTGGTTAAGTTTTGATCCACCCTGTCCAGCAGTGAACGGATAGCCACCTGAATGGATGGCCCAAACGCGCCAACACCGTGCGTGAGAACAGCGTGCGAGCGAAACAGCACGGCAGCAGCTTTCTCAGGTGCGAAAATGAATGTTTTGAGATGCCTCTTCTAGTGTGGAATTTTCTTGAGCCAGACTAACAATAGGACAATATATACTAATATAGTCTTTCTGGTAGTGGCAGTGGAAGTGCCAAACGTCTAATCACTACGATTGACGAATGCTATATGACAATGAATGACACAGAAAGAGAGCAAGACCTACCAAGATCCCTCCCTAAGCACTACAAAAAAATGAGTGGGCCTTGCTTCAAACGGGTCTACAAAATTGATCTGTAACTTCGGGACTGCCTTCGCCAAGCCCTTCAACTCATGTTAAAATTCAGTCCGCAAGCTTCAATATCCTCCCTGATCAGATCCTCCCAAGCAAATCCCCCAACGTTCCGAACGCGCGGAATCGATTTCCTCCAAGCACTCACCGCACACACCTCCTGTTCTCTTCTGCTTTCTTCAAGAATAACACCCCCCCCAGCGTCGAGCCTCTGGCGGCAAAACTTCAATTGGATCCTTAAATGCATCTCTGGCTGGTGGCTTCAGCTCCCTTGAATATTACTCCAAGTAAAGGTGGATCAAAAAAGACCTGGGGCCACCAGCCAGATCCCCCCCCGACCGGGCGGATGGATGCCCTGACCATGTCCAGGTCCGGCACTCCAAGGCGCTTGATCCATGGCGCGAGCGGGCCCTTTGCACCGCAGGATCCCCTCAATGAACCTCGCCGTCCGTGGGTCCGACGTGGCACTGAGGGAAGTGTGGGGTGTGTCTCCATAACCCCCGTGCCGATGTGCGCCTCGAAGTAGAAGTGGACAGACAAAGACTACTGAGCACCTGGGTTCTCTACAAGCACCTGGGTTGGATACAGGGTAGAACCGTAAACCTGTAGCCGCTGTAGCCCGCTCCTGGAGTGATGCAAGGCATTCTAGATTCGAAGACCCCCAAATCAAGCTCAGCAGTACAAGATTAAGCATTGGCAGGTGATGGCATCCTTGGCCCATTTGTGGATGATCGAAGCACGGAGATGGTTTCACAAACCATTCAGCCGCTGTAACTGTCGCAGGCCGTTCAGCTTGGAGACGGTTTTCTCCCAAATTGACGCACCCTTCAGAACTTTGTGCCAAACTGAGTGAGAATTCAATGGAGCTTACCAGTGGCTCCACATATGATAATCCTAATCCATGTTGACAAACACTCCCTGAAAGAAGCATGGGTTTGTGGAGTTCATCCCCTTGTTTGGTATATTCGGAAAATGGTCATCCTTTCAGTTCCGGGGAGTGGCATGGTGGGACACCTCCTTAACCTGAACATCCCAACTCCACATGCTGTCAGATCAGATGCTCGTCCATGGTCATTTCACCATCACCTCAGGATCCGTGCGTCCGTGCGTCCGTCGCTGCTGATGTCGCGACCATCAGGCGCAATCAGCAGGCTCTGCCGATCCGTCCGGTGCATGGGATGGAATTGCCAACAAGGAAGCGATCTCAGGCACCCAACGAGCTTCTTGTATCACCCAACGAGCTTGTCATTGACTGATCAGCATCAGTGGTTGGCTTTTGCTGACGAAGTGCCACAAATTCGGATCCCAAAGCCATGAGACACAGTGTTGTATAAAAGAGCTTCTATTAAACGGTCAGATATGCGCAGCCGCCTGGGAGGCAATAAGAAATCCTCGGCACCGGGATTGTGGAGAATCCCAGGGTTTTGCACCCACCGGTGCCCCAAATAAGCATTCACCGCCGATGGTCCTCAATGAGCAGGAAGCGATTTGAACCAATCTGTTGACCAGCTTCACCTAAGGACCTATTTGGTGTGGGACTGCTAGGCTGCTAGGCCCAAACAACTCAACACCCTGTGAAGCCAACTCTAAAAAGTCAAGAACTATACTCTCTCATCAAGTGCCCAGATGGAGTGGTCTTGCCCAACAAGCTCAGTGGATCTTCCTACCGACGCCCAGCTTCGACCCCGTTCAATGCGTGCCCAGGACCTAAGTGTCATCTCGACCTGGCTTGGACGAGTAGGGAAAAAAACACGTCCTGACGACCTGATAGAATGCCAGTGACCGTTGTCAATCAGGTGAAAGAGCGCGGTGCTGTCCATCACATCCTCACCATAAGGCCGAAGCTTCACTGCCACGCTAGGACTCGGGCTAAATTTGATCCATATATAATTGATGTTAAATACTGGGGGCGGGGGCGGTAATTTCGCAACCTACTCACATACCACCAACATCTTGCTTCGAAGTCGCCGACTAACTGTACTTGGTAACCAGTGTCCCTTTGCCCGGCCATCCAGTGCCTTCCCGTCCCCATTCAGTGGCCATTCCATGGGTGACCACCTGTGACAGTCACACTCCCGGGTCAGCTCACATGGACTCGGGGAGATATGCCTGTATTCAGGGTCAGTCTATGTGAGTGTTCAGTGGCGGTATATACATGTTGGTGTGATTTGAGGTCACTATCATGTTCATTTCATGGGATGCACCGTGCTCGCGTGCAAGCTGGGCACCGCTGCAAATCTGAATTCTTCATTAGTGAGGAAATAGTCGGGTCCAGGCTCAGCCAAGCCAGAAATAGTTGAGGCCAGTGCCAATGCAATTTGCTTGTCCCTGGCATCATTGGGCATCCGTGCTACATGTCATGTTGTTGTTGCATGTCACCTGTGAACCTGGGCGGCATTGGAGTTCTCGGCAGCTTCGGGTATTCAAGAGCAGCATGTTCACTCAGAGAGGGGGACTTCGGAAGAAATAGCAAGAGAGGCCCCCAGTCATCCAAAGTGCTGGGACCTCTTCTTCTGTCCTCCAAATACGTCGAATGGCCAGTGGTGCCCCCCCAAAAAAGATCAAAAAAAGCCAGAACGTTCCCCTGACCCATGCGATCTCACGGAAAACCATCCATCCCCAGTCCCCAGTCGGTCGCCCCTCCAAACTGCATCGCCCCAAAGCACGCCGCAGAAAGAGCCGAAACGACGCCACCGAGAAACCGGTTCCAGCGCTCTCGTCGCGGCGACGGGTCGGAGCTAGAGATCCCCCCTTGGGCCGAGCATCGACGTCTAAGGTTTGAAAATAAGCCACGACCTGAAGCGAGAAGTCCCTTGAGAGAGGGACTCCACCAGTAGATGTTCGTAGGATGACATGAATTTTGGGGGGGATGGCCAGGGTATGTAGCGCTTGCTGAGGGGCAAATACTGTAAGTGGAGTCAGCATTTCTTTGTAGCCTAAAGTGCTGATGAAACATACAAAAGAATAGGAGGCATTCATTGCCATGTGTGGATCGGCCCTGCGCTCTGCGAACATGCCACTAAAAGGTAGAAAGACACTGTTATGAATCAAGGCCCTCCCTACGCTTCTAACTGGGAGGTCCGTCGAAAAAACCTCCAAAACGAAAAATCGAACCTCCGAGCGAAGAAAGCAGTTGGCAAAGACCTCCACAAGCGATCCGAGCACGCAAAGGAAGTGAGAAATGCCCAGGCCCAGCCCGCCCAGACCCAGGTCTTGCGAGGAATCTCCCCCCTGTTGAGGCCACAGAAGATCAGGATCGACATAGCTGGATCTTCCAACTATACAGACTATACACTGTGCATCATGTCTGCCCAAATGGGCGGGGGTTTTCAGAGATGAAAAGGCAGAAATGTTGCATAGTTGGAAGATCTATAGGTATATATGGTATATATCAACTATCCCTCCAAAGAGGCGGTGCTACTTCGACTTGAAACACAACACCGCCTTTTCCCCCCACTCACTGGGCCCTGTGTCTCTTTGGTGTGAGCCGCCTACGGAGGGGAAACAACTAACGCGGACTCCGGCTTGTTTCCAATGGCGTTCGTAGGACATCCATCTTTGCCAAATGTCGCGCAGGGACATGAGACATGACACTGTCATGACACTTGCCCCAGCAGACCGCCCAGCGCGGTGAGTTCCAAACGTGCCTCTGATGCTTCCTTGTCAGAAGCTTCACCCTCTTGGAGTCTTACAGCTAACTTACCAAGATCTAATTAGTAAGGTTTCTGGGGTTCTCCTCTCAACAAAAGACCCAACATGCACTCCACTTTCAAGGGGCCATTGGATTGGCCAGTATGGTGGACAACTTCTCCTCTGTGACCATTCCTCAGCCGAGCCGGGTCTTCACCACCGGAAGCGCAGCTGTGCGCGACTGCCGCCGCAGCATAGCGCGCTGACCAGGGATCACCAAACGGAGAATGGTGACGGGCGGCGGCCAGGGATTTGGAAAGATACATTTACGTCTCCGGAATTCATCCTTGAGACCCTCCCTCCCTCTTTTCCCCAGGCCGCATGGTGGCATCGAGAACCTATCTGTTTCTTATGGAGGAGGAGAGGCCATGGAAACCTGAAGCTGTAGGGTGTGTCAGCTAGGCCGCTGGGTCCGAATCCACGAGATCGCGCACGGATTGGTTTGAGTTCAAGTTCACTGCAAGCCTTCAGGTGTCTACGTACGTGGTCAGTCCCTCTCGACCCACTGGCCAGCGACAGGGAAAATCCAACTTTCTCAACGCCAACTTTCTCTGAAGTCAGCCTTCCTGATATCAGTATCTGTCCATCAAGTCTGCATCAGAATCAGAATCGGCATCCATCCTTCCAACATCTCACATCTTTCCTATGGATGTTGGATGATGTTGCCTAGTCGCCAAAATGGAACCCATAGCAGTTGCGCGTTGGGCTCGACCTCTCTGCACCGTCCGGTCCTCCGCCTACCTAGACCCGGGAGTCGACCGCCCCGGTGTGGCCGTCTGATGGAGGTGAAGGGCTCTGCAGGCTCTAATGGTTACTCCAAACGATAGGGCTGTGAGTTCAAGAACGTTGTAGTCAGAGTGCATGGGCTAAAGAGCCCCCATGTCAAGTTGGAACTGCCTGCGAGTTGATGGAAGACAAAGGTGGCACCACCTGAGCTGCTAAAAACAACTATCAATGGTCTTCATCTGAGATGCCGGAACTGCATCACAAAAAGAATCAAAAGGATCTCAACACCCAAAGGCCCTGCGGAGAGTAAAAGTAAACTTCTGGAGCCTTGTTGGGGCAAAGAACTAAGGAAGTAGCTGTGAATATAGGCACCTGCCAGTATCTTCCAATATCAGGTCACAACATGTCACAACCATCCAGTGACACCACGCTTGTTGCAAAACGGGAGTCCATCGGATGTGTTGTCAATGGCCTTAAAAATCTGCTCCAGCTTGCGGACGTAGGAGGCCTTCTTGCTTAGCCTCCGGGAGGCAGGAGGCCCTTCCCATCCGGTCCTTCCGGGGGGGTCGAAGCGTGTGCAGTGACAAAGCCTGGCCTCAACGGAGTCAAGTGGTGGCTCAAAGCTTCGACAAGGGAGTGCCACGCGGAAAGCAACCCTCCTTCAGAATCCAAAAGCGTGTCAAGCGTTTCTATTCCTAAAAGGACCCCTAAAAGGACCCCTTTTGGGTGTGCCTGAGTTGGGCCGGGTTGTGAAGGAGCGGTGTTGTGAGTTCAGCTGCCGCGTCACCGCTCGCGTTTGCCACGACACTGCGGGGTTGATGCTCGGGTGCGGGCACACGTTCTGAGGTTCATTTAGCTTGTTCAGCAAGTGTCCTCAACTGACAAATTGAACGTTCCTGCAAGATCTGTTGGCAGAAGTCAACCCACACGGCGTACTTAAGTCAACCCACACGTCGCGTCGGGTCCACGGATGGCGGAACCGAGTCCATGTGCCGTATGATGGTGGTTTTTGGACCCGTTCGGGGATCCATGCCGTACCGAACCTCAGGTACGGTGATTTCCTGGCACTGCTCATTATAGACGGTAGGTTTGGAGGGTCCAAGTGGCTTCTGAGAAGGTACTTGGATCCCGGTGAGGTAAGCCACTAACACAATCCCAGCATCGGGCTTTGATGCGCATGGGTGCAATGATGAATACCATTCGCGTCTTCAGTCGTGACATGCAAAATGTTTGTGATCCATTCCGGTACCAGTCTGCCTGTCCAACCTGGTTGCTTGGTTGCGTGTCCTTTACCAAGTGGGTTTGGCGTTGGAGTTCGGGAATTTTGGGGTGGCAAGTTGCTACCTCCGAAAAGCCAGCTCCCGCCTGTCAACCACCAAGGCCTCTGCATCATTCTGCGCCGCGTCAAGAGTATCTTTCAAAAAGATTGCGGAGATCACACCTGGAGTCATCAAGAAACAACATGAACTTCACGGAAGTTTAAACTGCTATCACGCTGGGAAGGGCAACCCGTGT